ATTTCTATGCATTTTGTTTAATTATTGATATTTATTGGATAATTGTTCTTACTCCTTATTTTTCTTTGTTAAAAAAATTGAATTAATTATAATATAAAATAGATGGATTTGCCGGTCATATCATGTCCTTTTCTTTCAGTTATATCAATAGTATTTTTTGGAACAAGTTAGAGTGTGAACGCGATTGATAATTCTATTACCTTCCATGGTATAGCATTACGACTTATACATTTTCTCTAACTCAAGAAATTCCTACTGTTATTTATGACCCTATAATAATTACCTTCTATCTACCTCCAGCCAACCATGTTAATCCTATAGTAAACCTATATCAACCTAATATGTAAATATTGTAATAGAAGTAGGAGAAATAAATAGTGTGTTGAATAATATGATGTTGTAAATATTTTTAGAATGGTATGTAATGTAAATATGAGCTAACTATATGTAAATAAGTTCACAAAATCTTATTTGTCTTTATGTAAAATATTATTAATGATATAAATGTGTTAATAACATATAAGAAATATATACTTAATATTATATAATCGAGCCTTACATTTTTCAAAATTACAAGGACTACAAACAACCGTTTTAAATTTGAGGGACTAAAAATAAATTTATCTTAAATTTGAAGGATTAAAAATATATTTAACTCTTCTAATTATCAGTATAGTGAGGCCATTTTTTTTAAGGATAAACTTTGCATACTTTAACTCAAGTTACTTTATCTTTTTTTTTTTCTTAATTTAATTTACTCTTTATGTTTAATTAATTATTACTGATTGTTCTATTTTTAATTTTAAAATATTCATTCTACTGTTGATATGAACTTTCTTAATAAATTTAATTATTTATCTGTACTCTATTAATATATTTTCCAAGATCAAGTCGTTTATAGCTACAAAGCTCTTTGACACGTGTTTGGTGGGAGCTAATGTCTTGTGGATGACCCGATAAAACTATTATGATTCACAAGACTTTTTCTCCAAATATTTAACACATTTTTAGGACTTGGATTAGACTTAAAAATCATTGGATAAACTAAGACAATATATGTTTATGGTTCATGTGCACAATAATGTTACTGTAAATTTAAGTAAAAAATAATATGTTGATGCTTAAAAAAATTAGAATTAATTGTACTTTTTTCATTTCATGCATGTTTCATAATTTTATAAATTTTGCCACTTAATTTTTTAAATTGGATATTTTATTACTCAATTTTAAAAATTTTGTATATTTTATCACCTATTAATTGACTTAGTTGATTATTAAGAGCATCTGCGGTGGGGGTTGCTTATAAGCAACTCTTGTGCCACATCATACCACATTAACCCTTTTCCACTTTTTTTTTAAGCACTGAAGCTTTTATAAGCAACTTTGCTAAAATTTAAGCAACCCATAAACAATGAAAAGAGCTTATATAAGCAACCTCCACTGCAAATGCTCTGTAACACATCAATTGCTAATGTGTCACACTAACTATTGACATGGCACAATATGTCATATTATCATTTTATGATACATAGACAATCTAGGAGCTAATGTAACATGTTACATATAGTGACATACAAAAAGTATCACTATAGGTACAATATATGTAGATATATATCTATTTGACATATAGTTACACACAAATTTAATGTTGATTTTGAATGAAATTTAACAACATATTTTGTGTGTCACTATAACCTATATCCACACTTTTTAATAATATATCAACATATATTGCAGTTATTACGTGGGTAAAAGTACTTTTTAGCGGCATGTATAGTGTTACTATAGGGTGTGTGTCACTATATGACAATTTTCTTGTAATGTGTTAGATATCAATTAATGACTTCATGTGATTAATCAATGGAATGATAACATATGAAAACTTTTAAAAATAAAGAAACAAAATACACAATTTTAAAAGTTAAATACCAAAATTTGTGAAATTATATAGGTATAAAAAAATACAATTAAGTCAATTTAGTTCCACTATTTTTAAAAGGTTTTATTTGGTCCTTTAATTTTCAAAAAATGTTCAATGTTGTTTTTCTATCCACATTGACATTAATTGAATATTTTTTTAAAAAAATTAGAGGAATAAATTGAAAATTTTAATAATAGTGAAACCAAATTGAATATCTTAAAAAATAGTTGGACCAAATTGAATAAAAAGTTATCTAACATTTTTTGTCTAAACAAATTTAAATTTTTTTACTTATCTTAACAAAATCATGAATGACAATAAATTAAATACTTGAAATTAAAAGAAATGGTCACAAAATGAATGAATTATCTAATAAAATAAATTATTAAATAAGTAAAAAAAAATTTAAATTTATCTAGACACAAATGTTAAATAATTTTTTTTGTTCATTTTAATTTCTCTATTTATGAAATGTTTAATTTTGTTTAAATATTTTTAAATGTTTCAATTTGATTATCTAATTTTTAAACGGTAATCAATGTTGTCCTTTTATCTAATTTTATTGATGTCATTAATATCAATTTGTATCGAAAGATAATATTGGACATTTAAAAAAATAGAGAATCTAATTAAACTATTTTAAATAATATAATCAAATTTAATTTTACAAATAAAAAATATTTTAGTCTATTAAAAATAGTGAAAGTGTCCCGTGTGCCTTAACCAATGTCATGGGTAGGGATGGCAAAAATACCCGCACCCGCGGGTATCTGTAGGTAAAATCTGCTACGGATAATAAATAGATATGCTAATTGGATACTCGTGGATAATGGAAACGGATAATTTTTTATCCATTTATAAATGGGGCGGGGACGAGTATGATGATATTCATACCTTTGGGTACCCGTTTAATAATATTTCTAAAATATCCTAATTATCCTTGTACCACATAACCCTAAAACTACAATCTCTCATCTTATTTTCTTTTCATAGCCGCACATCCCACACATTAGTCATCCCAATAAAATTTATGTATTTTAAGTTATTTACTTTTGTTTTAAATTATGAGATTGAATTATTGTAACTTTCTGATATGAGACTTTCATTTGTGATTGATGTATTTTAAGTTATTGATTATCTTGCATTTTTATTATTATTTCAACAAAATTAACGTTAAATATAAGTTTAAAATTAACATTAAATTTTTATTTTTAATATTTCAATGTCATTAAATATAAACTTAAAATTATTTCTAATATAATTTTTTTAATTTCTTAAGTATATCCATAGATATCTGTGGGTATTCAAAAAAAAGAGTTGCTACGGTACCCTCAAAGATGGAGGAGTTTCAATACATTTTTCTATGTAAACTCATAAAAAATTAAAAAAAATTAATTTAATTATAAAATGAATAATCCAAATTATACTTATAAAATAAAAAGTAAGATAAAATTATAGAGATTAAAATTATAATTTTTCAATAATATTATAAAATATTAAAGAAAAAGAAAAAAATTAATAAATAGTAGAAATAAAAAGTTATTAAAATTATAATATAGAAATTCAAAAATTTAAGACAAAAAGACAAAAAATATACTTAAAAAGTTATTAAAATTAAAATATAGAAATTCAAAAATTTTAAGTGAAAAGATAAAAATATACTTAAAAAATTATTAAAATTAAACTATTTAAATATATAATAATATTATTACAAATAAATTAGAATATATAAAATAAAAATAAAATGACTAAATAATTTAAAAATTGAATAAATAAAATATCATAAATATTATTTAAATAAATTACTAAAAATATAAAATATAAAAAACTGTACCGGTACCCTCTTAAATAAGATAAGTACCGTAAAATTTTTCTTCAAAAAATTTATGAATACTCGCACGGATATGAAGTGACTATAGAACTAATTTTCATCCGCAAAACAGGGACGAATTTACTATTATCGGTCCCATAGACCTATTGCCATCCGTAGTCATGGGTGTCTCTTTTGCACGGCTACAGTTTTTTTTCTTTGCTGCTTTTGTTTTCTTTACTCTTGAAAATAGAAAACCTAAACAATTTCCTGGCAAATCCTGCGTAGACCATTGGTAAACGTTACTATATTCTAATTTTTATTTTAAATTTGGCTTTCTTTTTCTTTTCTTCAAGTACTTTTTCAACTTACACTACTTTAATGTAAACTCGTAGAAAAAGTTCACCCATTTGCTTCCATAACTAAAAAATAAAAAAAGTATACGTGATTTGTCCATATTCATTGCGTCTGAAAAAATCTTGTTTTTCTTTTTGACTGTAAAAAGAAAAACGTGTTTTTTCAACACAAAGAAATAAAGAAGTGATTACACAATTATTGATGGAAAAAGCTATGTCGGCAAAAGAAACAAAAATTTACCATAAACAAGGTCTCCCCTTCACACCGTACGTTTTTATTAAATTGTAATTTTTTTTTATTAATTTCGTCGATGTTGTGATTAGTCTTTTATTATTTGTAAAATTTTAAGATTTAATTTTTTTTAATGAATTTTAGTTATTCTGATTTGAGGTCAAATTAACCTGTTAAGAAAAAATATATAAAATAAATTATAAAAGTTCATTCTTTAAAGAATTTGGAGGGTAAAAAATAAAATTTCCTTCTTTTTCTTCTTTTGAGTAGTCAGAGAGTAACCTTCTCTGAATAAAGTTGAGTAGCTAAGTAAGTTATAACTTGAATTATTGATAAATAAATTGGTTGATGTTATATGGTGTTTGATCTCATTAAACTGTAGCTGCGGTGATGATTATGAGGTACAAGTCTTTATTTCACATGTTGAGAACAGGATCATCATGGAAACACTAGCAATGAATAGTAGCATCTTTGTATAGTCTGTACTATGAACACAAGGACTCAAACTTGCAGATATTCGAAACTTTTCAAAGATATTATTGTTTTGGAAACTTTATTCTTGATTACTTCCCTCTCATACGAGCTAAGATCGAAACTCTATACTTGATTTCAGAAGCATGGCTTTCCCAAATGGATTCAAAATTTCTCCTCTAGCTCCACCACTATCAACCGAATGAAATGTCAACAAAATGTTATTTTCTTATTGATACATTATAGTTAAATAAACTAGATTCCCAATATTAAGATATATAATTCTATATGTTTCCTCTCATTCATAATTTCAGTTCTCATGAGTATTGAAATCAAAAACCAAAATACATTAACTTACAGTAATTAACGAAAACTATATACATGATAAATTCACGAGGGGCCGGAATAATCGTGTGAATTTGACAATGTTGTATCAGTGTTTCTGTCAGAACTTAAAGTTAATAAGGACCATGAGCTTTCATAATCAATTATCTTCTGTTTTCCTCGAAATTGACTATATAAGCTATCATTCTCCCGATTCTGCATTTCGAGATCTGATCCTTCATGCAAACTTTCATCATTCCTGCGATAATGTTATAGATTAAATATATAAACGAAAATTGGCTTCTAACCGAGAGCTTTTAAAAAAATGTGATCATTTCTCTAAATCTAATAATTATAATGGTAAGGATTGTAAATGAATTTCTTCATCATGTTACTGTTTGAATTCACGATCGTTACCAAAAAAAATAAGTCAATTCAAGCTAATAATGCAACAACAACTCGGGAATATAGCAAATGCATGTCATTTATTATATTGAACATATCATACTATACCATCTAGAATTAATATATAGAATGCATCTGTGAAAAATTACAAGGAATTCTTTCGGATCTGAACCTAAAATCAACATAAAGGAATATTATTTGCATTAATTCTAAACATATCTGAAGATTAACAAGTCCAACATATATAACCTCAAAATTTCAACTTCTCTTGATAACATAAATAGTATACCATGTTTTAGTTCATTAAAATATCTAAAAATTTTCTAGTATGTTTAGATGGAAGATTTTAAGAGAGTAATTCATATAGGATTTTAAAAGAAATTTTTTTATTAATATGAAAAAATTAGAATAACAAAATTAATGTAACAGCCCATTTTTCGTGGGTCAAAGGCCCAATTCGTGGCCCAGAACGGGCCGTTTCAATTTTGAAACGATCCGTTCTGGATTAGTGAGTATGGCCAAAATTGTAGAAGCAGAACGGGCCGTTCTGATGGGAGAACGGGCTGTTCTGGTTTGGAAAATGGGCCGTTCTGCTGGGTTTGAGAACGGGCCGTTCTGGTTTGAGAACGGGCCGTTCTGGTTTGGGAACGGGCCGTTCCAGTTGAAAAATTTACGTATGTTTGAAGGGACCAGAACGGGCCGTTCCGATTTTGGAACGGGCCGTAATGGTAGGTGGGCGAAAAATCTTATAAATAGGCATCAAATCCTCTCATTTCTACACACCTCTCATTCTCACTCTCTCTTCTCTTCTGTTCTCTCTTTCGTTCCTCTTCTTCTCTCTGAAGACCAAGAGGAACTCAGAGGATGAGGTTCTGCTTCAGTTTTAGTTCCGATCCTTGTTTAAGGAAAAAGAGAAGGAGGTTCTGCCCGAGTTCCTATTTATCCAGGTACGGGGAAAAATGGGATTATTTATATGTGGAGTTACATGAAGGAATTTGGTAGACGAAGAGTCCCTTAGGATTATGAGTAATTTTATAATTATTTCTGTTTGGAGAATTATTGGTCTTATGTGATTCTGTATATATTTAGGACTACAAATATATGATTTATTTGTAAAAATGATGCTCTGGGAGAGAGAACGAAATTATAGAAAAGTGCCTGTAAGTTAGGTTTTGGAAAAATTAGATTATTTCTGTTTGAGGAATTAATGATACCATTAGATTCTGTATGTGTTGAGGATTAGAAATATATATTTAATTTGTAAGAATGATGATCTGAGAGGGAGAACGAAACTGTAGAAAAGTGTCTGTGAGTTAGGTTTTGAAAGAATTGGGGGTTTTATTGTTTATGTTAAAGTTATATGAAATTGATAATTCCATTGTTTATAATATTAATTTATGAATGTTATTATTGTATTGATTGATAAGAATGAATGATCTTGATGTGAATTACTTGAGGGGTGTGTAAACCCTTATTTTGTTGGGCTTATCTGTTGTGTATGTGAGGTGGAATTGTGTACGTGATGTGAATTTGAATTATGAGATGAGATGTTGTATGGATGTGATTATGATTGTGATTGTGGTGCCTCACATCAGTGACTAGGGATGGCACGGCCCCTGGGTAAGTGGTGCTACAGGGAGGGCGTGACCCTAGCATGGTGTGGGATGAGTAAGACAGTTAACACACACCACTTATGTCGATTATGGCAGCCCTGACATAGGGTTAATTGCAAGAGATTGTATGGATTGTAATTTGATTGTGGTTCCTCACACTAAAGGATCAAGGATGATACGAACCCTGGTAGTTGATGTTTCAGGGACGAGCGTACTCCCGGATGATCAGGGATGATACGAACCCTGGGTAGGTGATGCTTCAGGGACGAGCGTACTCCTTAATGACTAGGGATGGCACGGCCCCTGGGTAAGTGATGCTACAGGGAGGGCGTGACCCTGGTTTGGTGTGGGAGGCAATTAACCTGTATCACTTGTGTCAGATGTGGCGAGGTCTTGGCATAGTGTTAATTGTAAGATTGGTGTGAATTATGGATGTGGAAATGATATTGTTAATTGTAAGATTGACATGAATTATGAATATGGAAATGATGTTGTAAATTGTATAATTGGTGTGGATTATGATGGATTGAGATATGTATGTGAAATGAGATATGTTAAATGTGAATTGAGATGTGAAGATGATGAATGATTGATATATATATATATATATATATATATATATATATATATATTTTATTAAATAATGAATTATGATGAGATTATATTGTGATGTGTTTGTATGTACTTTGCATATAGATATTTTCTTTTCTCACCGTATAAACTGTGGATATTTTAGGTGAAGAAGATCCGGCTACGAGTGGCATCTAGAATGCCAACAGTTAAATTATGGGAATGCTATGATAGTGTGACATCGGAGCAGAGGATTTCTAGGACAGAATATTTATATGGATTTGGTATTGTAATAAATGATTTTAAAATTGTAAACTCTTAAATTTTACCTTTCAAGTTTTATTTTTCAGTCATTTTCTTATATTGAAGAAAGAACAGTTTTGAAGTTTTATGTGAACCCTTTTACGAACCCTTTGAAAGTTTATTCTTCTTAATTAAATTATATTATATATGTGTTGGGGTAATAAGGGTAACACAATTAAGGATTCAACTTAAGCTCTCATGCATTGAACTCACTCCACTTAAAATTTAATTTAAAAATTAACTTAAAAATTCTTAAATAATTTAAGGACTAGCCCAACAATTTAACCCATTGAAAATAAAATAAAAGTTGCAACACTTTTGATAAATACAAGAATAAAATATATATTATTTTTTATAGAAATTAAAATGAATTTCGATGTATTTTAAATTTTACCCAATATAAAATTCCGTGTTGTAAAGCAATGAGACAAAACTATGTTCAGACATATGTGCCAGCTAAACTATATTATCAGTTTTCTTCTTCTTATTTTTAATATTTATTTTATTCCTTTATCTTTCTAAAGATTTATTTTAGTCCTTTAGTTTTCAAATTTTGAATTAATTTTATCTTTTTAAAATAATGATCACTTTTTTTTATTATTATTTTGGAACACAATTTTAAATGTTTTTTCAATGATTCAAGATGTGAATCTTATCTCATTAAATTTACTTACATAAATACTGTGTTTCGTAAAGGAGTAAAAAATAGAAGAAAGAGAAAAGAAAACAAATAAAAGATAAGTGAAGAGAAGTAAATAAGAAATTAAAGTAATTTGGTATCAAAGAAATAAAAGAGAGACAGAGGGAAATTAGATTGTTTAAATTATATTTTTCAAATTAAAAGATATAATAATTAAATATTATAAATACATTTACCATTTTACTCCTAAATACTACACATGCTCAAACTTTCTTTTATTTAATTATGGTTCACATATTCGACTATAAAACATATGGACTATGGAATTAAAAAAAAAAACTATATATCATAAAGAGCAACAAGATGACATGAAATGAATCAATGGAAGAATACTATGGAATAGATATATAGAGTCGTGGGAAAGATAAAGAATATGAGTTAATCACCTATATATTATTAGTGTAAAGTTTTTTTATACTAATAATCAATTATATCTTTTAATTGACATGACACAATTAAAAGATATAATTGGTTGTTAGTATAAAATTTTTTGTATAGGTGATTAACTCAAAGAATATATTGATAGATGGAAGAAGATTGATATATAACCTATTGAGGAGAGACGCATTGCATGTGTGCAAGCCAATGTATGTTATTTGGTACATATCAGGATTTTCTTCACATCGCTGCACCTGTTTGGTTGCTTTACAACCTTGATCAAACTTGTAAGTGCATCTAAAGTAACTCCTACAAATTAATTATCATTGAGTATAAAGTGAGTTACATGGCTAATCTTGAAACAGAAATTGGTCTGGTAATTATATATATAATTACCTGTTCATTTAGAAAATTAACACATTAATAGAAGAATCATAAAATACCTATCAAGTTTAAAGAAAAGTTTTATCCACTACTACAAAACAAGGTATATATTCTACATTGGTTAAAAGGAAATCCGATGTAGAATACTTCATTTCTACATCGGTTTTAGGAAAAACTGATGTAAATTTACTTATATTTTTTACTTAATTACAAGTTTGTCACTGCACATGTTTTTTACATCATTTCTTGGACAACAGATGTTATATATATAACGACGTAAAACAGTATTTTCTTAGTAGTGATCGTATTACTATATACTTTAGTATTGAATGTTGTATTCCAAAGGAAAACAAGAAAAAATGTAGAAGTAGATCAGTATATGTTAAAGTTAATGTGTTAAAGAATTTAGAATCTTTGTATACAAGAAAAAATCGATATATTACTTGTCAAATAATAGATATAAAAAAAATATTAGTTAATGTGTTTGGATATCGGAAATAGATTGCACGATTAGCTATGTGAAAAAAAAAAAAAAAAAAAAAAAAAAAAAGGGAGATCCAGAAAGATATCGGAGGAAATATTATGAAGAGATGTCATAATATATAATACGATAAAACTTACTGTTGTATTGTTATCTAGATAGAATTTGACTTCATTTAATTAATATGTATATCTATTTAATGGAAATTTTATTATTGTACAATTACGTATCTTATTAAAAAAATTAATTTTAATTAAAAAATAATACGAAAGTTTTATTTAAAATAATATTTGTTAATAACAAGTTATTGATTCAAGTAAAACAGAATTTGATATCTTTAAACAAAACTTCAAATCATATAAAGAAAATAAAATATGATTCGAGTAAGTGACTAATTAACTAAAAAATAAAATAATTAGTTAAATTTTTGATAAAAATAATTATTAATAAAATTCATGAATATTTTATACTATTTAATAACATAATTATCAATAAAAATAATAAATAAAATTTTTAAGAATTTAATTTTTAACTATGATCTATATAGTCAAGTATACTCCCTAATTAAATAAACTTGTTGTCAGAACATGATGCAAATTTCAAGAATTGTTAAAAGAAGTCTAGAAATAGGTAGAAAGATTCTATATAATTCTAGTTAAATATTAAACTATTAAAACTCTAGAATTTCTGTCGCTAGCTAGAATCATCATGGGACAAGAGACGACTAACATACACACTATAAATAAACTCTCAAAACTTCCAATTGTGAGGCTCTTCCTCCGAAGCTAGCATACAAGCCTCGTACTGTTCTGTGTATAATATTCTCCATTCAACTATAATTTGAAATACACTATCCACTATTACTCGTCTAAACTTTTTTAACAGTACCAAAGTTACGTTCATTTATCTACTGAGTATAGATATATTTTTAATTACTTCAAACATTATATTCCACATTACTTCTAAAATATTTTTTCTATTTATGATCATTAGCAATCAACCTATATCTATCACAATCTCTATCTTAATATCTCTATCTTATGAGAAAATTATGACTTTTGTAATATCAAAATAAGATTTTTTTTCTCTCAATTTATGAGATATTATGAAGATGGCTTTATTATTTATGAAGACATTTTAACTTTTACTGCAGCTAAGAAAAAGAAGTGAAGAAAAACAAGCAGAAGGATTCTAGGGCATTATTTGCAATTCAACAAGTAGTTGATGACAAAATAATTTCAAGAATAATAGGTGTCACAAGTGCAAAAGAAGCTTGAAACACACTACAAGAGAAGTTTGAAGGAAGTAACCAGACAAACAATGTTTAACTTCAATCTCAAATGTGAGTTTAAATTAATAAAAATGAAAGAGTTTGAAACCATAAAAGACTATTATTCAAATAGTTAGTCAAATGAGAGCAATGAAAAAAATATTCTTGAGAAAAAAATTGTTGTGAAAATTCAAATTTTTATTATCCATAAATATGATACAATTGCAACAATGATTGAACAAACTAAAATTTGTCCAACTTATTAATGATACAAATAATGGACTCTCTTGAAACTTATGAACAAATATTGAAAAAGCATGAAAAAGACTCTACTAAAAATACCTTTCAATCAAAGCTCAAATTATGGTCATGAAATAAAAAATATGAAGAAAATAAAAACAGTGAGGAAATCTTTAAAAATAAAGAAAATTTTAAAGCTTTATAAACACTTTTACAGTGAAGTATTGAAGCTGGTGTGCCACCTATTAAGCAATAAAATAACTGGTACTAGTAGGTTTTTAACCGAAAAAATAAAAATAAAAAAATTAAAATCATCACTAAATAAAATGAACAGCATTGAGATGATTTCTAGTTATCACATGTGTGATAACGAGACTCATTTTCATCTCCAAACTTCGTCTCCTCCATTTCAAAAACTTCTTCTCCAACCTTTGTTCCTTTTTCTCCCTCGATCTAGCGACAACAAAGACTCACACTACATTGATTTTTGGTCGTCACAAGCAGCAATAACAACACCATTTTCCATATTCAACCAATGTTTTCTCTATATTAAAATCTTCTCCAACTTTCGTCTCTCTTTCTCCCCTGACTTGGAAACAATGGGGGTGTCACTCACCTCGTACCTCTATCTCCCTCGACCTTGCAACAGTGATGTCACCACTCACACGACGACCACCATATTGAATCATTAACAATTGAGTAACACAAATTGAATCAATCCACAATTAAACAAAAACATTTGAAATCCAAAATAGATCTCACTCGATGATTATCAATGACAGAACAAAGTTTAATTGTCATTATTTTGTCTTAACAGTTTAACAAATGAATCATGTAAATAATCAGGCAAAAACGAGATACAATACGAAGAAGACCAACGCTTGACGGTGGAGAGACCAAAGGAAAAAAAAAAAAAAAAAGATGCGATTAAGGGGGATCGGGTGACACCGATGTCAACAAGTTGATGCTAAAACTATGGTGTGTTTCTCCTCCAATTTGATTTGCTTGTTGCTATGCATTTCTCGATCTAGTTTGGCCATGACGACATGATACCTTGGATTGGGAGAATGAGGAGTAGGCTTGGAATGGGAAAGATCAGAGAACCTTCTTAGTAGGTTTCCAGTAAAAAATCTCAACCTCAATTTTTTTATTAATAAATCCAACGGTGATTAGAGATGCTTAATGGATGTACCACTTATTTTGGTACTTCATGTTAGATTTTTTGGAAGTTTCTTTAAGTTCAATCAAAGCAAATATCCTCCATGTGACATCTATAAGGAGATAAATCACTTGGAAAGAAATTGTTGGCATCATGAAAAGCCTCAATGTCAATACTAGAAGAAATTTGGACATGTTGAAAAGAATTATCACAACAAAAATAGACAACAAGAAAATTTTGTTGAAGAGCAAGACAATGAGATACATTTTTTTTTCTATGCCAACCCATATTCTAGTAATGAAACAAGTGGCAATTGGTACTTTGATAACAATTGCAGTAACCACAGTGCTAATGATTACAGTATTTTCAAAGAAATTGATGACTTTGTGAAAGTTTAAGTACAATCGAAAAATGGCACCATGGTAGAGTCAAAAGGCAAAGGCATCGTTATTGTAGAGACTAAGAAAGGTATGAGACTCATTAATGATGTTCTACTTGTTTCTCATCTTAAAGAAAATCTCTTGAGCATTGGTCAAATGATGGAGATATGCTATGCTTTTCACTTTAAAGGTGACATGTGCATTATCTATGATAACAAAAGACGAGAAATAACCCAAGGTAAAATGGAGAAAGAAAATAGAGGTTTTCCAATAAATTTCAAATATGCTACAAACGTTTCCATCAAAGCGCAAGTGCAAGTTGATGGTTCATGGCAATGGCATCGTAGATTTGGCCACTTCAACACTCATGCCTTGAAGTTACTATATCAAAAGAATATGATGAGAGGTTTTTCAACTCTAAAAGAAAATAATGAAGCCTATGAAAAATGTCTTCTTGAGAAAGAACATAGACTATAGCTTTCCATTGGAAAAGCACAGAGAGCAAAAGACTTAATGGAATGGATCCACATTGATATTTGCAAACCGATGAAGATAATATCACTTCATAACATGGGTTTACTTTATTAAAGAAAAAATAGAAGTCTTCAAAATATTCAAGTTTAAAGCCTTTGTGGAGAAACAAAGTGAAAAAATTATAAAAGTATTTAGAAGTGATTGAGGCAAAGAGTACAATCCACACGAGTTCAACAAGTTCTATGAAGATTAAGACATTGGGTTGAAGTAGTTTACACCATAGTTTACATAACAAATGTCCAACCAAGACAATTCAAGACAAGACTTCAATTGAAGCTTAGAGTGGGAGAAAGTCATCGGCTAAACATCTATGAGTATTTGGATCTATCTGCTATTATGTTCTATTGAAAAGAGACACAAACTAGAAGACAAGACTACTTATTGTATCGCACGCAATCAAAAGGCTACTAAGTCCACTACCTATAAATGAAGAAGCTCAACATTAGTCGAGATATTGAGGTTGATAAAAATTCTCTTTGAAAATGGGAAGAAGAAAAAGTTGTTAGAAACATTTTCGTTCCAATACAACAACCTCAAGAAGAAATTCAAGAAATAGAAAGAGATCTAAACATCTATGAAACTTGCAATACATCTAACAAAGCAAATTCAACTCAAATATTATAAGACAAAAGAACAAATTACAAACTATATATGTTCAAAAGTTTCTGAAATTTGTATCAAGGAAGGATGTCAAAACATATTACAAATTTCAAAAATCGTAAGAAAAGTCTAGAAATAAGTATTAGGATTTGAGATAATTGTATAAAAAAATATTAAACTATTAAAACTCTAGAATTACCAACTTACACACACTATAAATAAGCTCTCAAACTTCCAATTGTAAGTATCCTCCTCCAAGCTATCATACAAGCCTTGTACTCCACTAAGTATAATATTTTCCATTCAATTTTAATTTAAAATACACTATCAACTATTACTCTGTTATAAATTCTCTCATTCTTAAGAAACACTTATATGGAAGAAAAAAAATTAGCTTATGAAATTTCTTATATTTTTCTTCCATAAATGTATATTATGAAATTTGACCTTAATAGGATAAGACAATTGTTTTTAATATTTTATTTATAAGAGGAAAATTTTCCCCTACAGAAAAGCTTAATTTTAACTTTTTCTAGTACTGTATCATCTTTTGTATATGTGTACGTGATAGGGTACTTTGAGCATTCAAGTAGGAAGCAGTCCCCTAAGTTGGTTTTTACTAGCCCCGGCCCTCACATTGGCACATCAGCTTGAGTATAATTTCTGGTTTTGGTATGAGTCAGAAAGAGACTACGGAAAATGTTCTCCGATAAGTAATTTTGATAAGAATTCAAAAAATGAAAAATAATTTCTAAACTTGTTTAAATATAAGATAGAAGCATTGTTTTAGAATTTTTTTTTATTAAAAACAAGAATCATAGGAAAATGAATATTCCTACTTTCCCTATAGCTAAGCTCCTGGAGAGATCCAAATTGTTCTATGTCCATAACAGCCCATTTTGATTCTACTCAATATCCTCTCTCTTCCCCCTAATTTCCCATATAACTTGGGCAGTTGAGGTTCGAATTGTTCATTTGGAGCCAAATCTAGCTCCAAGGTCCTATCACATATTTCTTTGGAGATAGTGAAAGAGAACAAACAAAGAAAAACAGTTATGTGAGGTGCAATGAATTATGTATAAATAATCATGTTTACTTATATATATATAAATAGAGTCTCAATTACGTACCGAAGAAATTTAGAATTCAGAATTTGCTTTTCTCCATACTTCCTCCATACATGACCGTCGTCAGTGGTCTTTAAGACTGCGGTCCATGTCTGCGCACCCTTCCCCTTCCTGTGGAACAAAAATTCAGGAATTTATATATACATAACATCCGGCTAGCTAGACAATAAAAACGCATATGTGAAAAAAAAAAATTACATACAGAAATATTTATATATCCGTTCAATCGATCGGCGGGGACATAAGGGTTTGTAGAATTAAAGCAGGCAGTACATAGATGATAGATTGATGAGAAAGAGAACACATAACCTTATACTGTGACTATCTCTTTCATCGCTTTGACCCTGTTGGGATCTGTTCCAATTTACACTGTCATCTCCAGAAGTTGAATAACTGGCGGAACCGAGAACGTGAGGTGCAGGAGCAGGAGCAGGAGCAGGAACAGGAGGAGGTGGTTGGAAAGAAGAGGCTTTAATGATAGAAATAGTTTGTGAAAAAGATGAGAGCACATTCTCCAAGAGTTGCTCTGGTGAGAGAAAGTCTTCACTCCCAATGGGGTTTTCTAAAAGACCCTTGAGTTGGGTAGCAGCTTCCTGGCCCTTCACAAGCTCTTCCATTATCACTCTCTCCTTTACTATGATCATACTTTCACTTTCTAAGAACATATTTTTCACTTTCTATCACCCTACCTGCAGGGGAGCCGCTAAGGGCCAGCGTAGAGACCAGAGAGGAGAACAAAGAGAAATTGAGGGTTTTGCTCTCCTTCTCCTAATAGCCACTGCGACCATGACAGGTGTTTAATTAGATCAAATTAGTTACAAGTAAAAAATTATTATTCTCATCGATTATTCATATAAAGCGTACTATTTTATGTTTTTCATTTGTCTTATGAAATTTCGGTTAATAATTCTACTCATTTCTTTTTTCTCTTTTTTTTTTATACACATATATACTATCTCGCATAATTGTGTAGTCAGTAAATGATATATTTGTAATTTGATGCGAAAAGATAGAAAATAATTAGGATGCAACTTGATTTGAGTGAAAAAAAAAAAGAGTTAAAATTTGAAGTTTTATTGAAAAAGTTGTTTATGGAAAGTTGTATATAAATAAGGAAGACATTTTTTCAAACAAAATTTCAAGTTAGAGTAATGTAATTATTTTAAATACAAATATTAATTAAAGTTGTAAATTTGGACTCGATTGACCCATAAATAAAGTCACACTGAATCTTTACAAAAATGACTTAAATAAAATAAAGTCATTTTGATATATCCTATTAAGTTCGACATGTCAAATGGACTTAAGTCATTTGTGGTGGTTTATTTAAACTTAATTTTATGTCATTTTTCATTAATAAACATTATAGCATTTCTTTATTATTTGTTTCAAATGTTGAATGTTCTATACTTGGCATGATAGACTTGGAAATGTTAGCTTCAAATCTACTAAAAGAATACTCTTGATTTTATTCCTAAATTTTTTTAGTGAATTGAAATAAAAATGTGAAGTTTGTGTTCAAGCTAAACAACCTCGAAAATCTTTTCAAAATTTTGTTCAAAAGGAAACTTGTTTGCTTAAACTCATTCATAGTGATATATGTTATAGCAATGGTGTGATTACTCATGGTGGAAAGAAACATTTTATTACCTTTATTAATGACTTCTCAAAATATTGTTGTGTATTTGATAATTCATAAAAGTGAGTTATTTGATAAATTCAAAGTTTATAAAGTAGAGTTTGGAAATCAATTAGAAAGGAAAATTCAAAATTTTCATTATGATAAAGGGAGAATATATTCTTCTAATGAAATGGGTGAATTTTTTTAATCATATGATATTATTCATGAAATTATTCCACCCTATGTTCCTCAATCTAATGAAATTGTTGAAAGAAAAAATCGTACTTTGTTAGACATGATAAATGTTATGCTTATAAGTATTAGTCTACCTAATATATAATTTGTGAGTTTACTAAATGTCATATTTTGAATAGAATGTTAAGTGAGACAAAACAATTTCTAGTAAAGTTTTGAATGAAACAAATATAATACATATTGTTATTTCTAACATGTATGTTAGTGTTTCAGAAAAACATAAGTACAGGCAAACAGAGCATGTGCCATTTCTTATACTAGAACCAAGATAAAAGAAGAAAAGTTTCAAGCATCAGACGGAAAGGTCAAACGAAGCCAAGTCTAGCACAAGAAAGAAAATGATCAAGCTTCAGACGAAGCACATTCAAGAACGAGAAAAAGTTCATACAGACCACAAACGAAAATTCTTCAAGTACCAGACGAAGATTAGTCAAGACAAAGCACAACAAAAGGATCAGACTAAGCAAAGTCAAATGCAAGATGAAATACGACATGAGCACCAGAAGATGTTGGATCAAATATCAGATGTAGGTGTGTCAAGCACAACATAAAGCGTAACATAAGGATTCAGACCAAGGCTGGTCAAGAATCAGACAAAAGTCAACTACATATCATACGAAGGACAACACAGACTAAAAAGCATTATAGACAGAAATGAAGTTTGTCCATCTATAATATTGACCAAACCAAAGGAAGTCAAAGCATTGATGACAAATGCTCAGACGAAGATCAAGTCTTGAGATACACATGGACTACCAGACGCAGACGAAGACTATCATGCAAGCATATGAAGAATCAAGTCTCAAGGGACAATTCAGGCATCGTCTACAATCATACAAGAGCTCTCAATATGATCGCGTGCTAAAAGGAACAAAAGAAGAAGAAGAAATGCAAGCCTAAAAATCAAAGCATGTGTATGTCAGAAAAAGTACATTACCTTAAAGGTAAAGACAACGCCTCTACAGCTACGATGACCGAAAAAAGGACAAGAAATACCTAGGTCACAGTTAAAGTCAGACACTGTAGCTAACAAAAACGTAGAAGACTTCACGCAATATTTATAAATAGGAAGTAATATTTAATGCAAAATCAAGTGCATTAAATGAGAAATTGAACTAGTCATGAACGACTACCTTCTGCTTCAACGGACACTTGCAACGGACAGATCTTATAGAGGCCATAAATATGTCATGACTCCAAACCTGGAAAGGCTGGCAAAGAGTGATTCCAAGCCCAAGAAGCAACGAAACCATAGACAGAGCATACATAGTCAAATGTACATTATTGTATTTATCTCTATAGATTAAGGAATTCTAAGTGTAACTTAGGAACATAAACCTTAGTGAGTGTAGTAAACCTTTGTATCCTCTCTATGAGGGTAAACCACACACTCAAAACAAATTATCTATCATTTGTAAAGCCTGAAGAGGTTAGGGAAAGAATACTTGTATAAGCCTGGAAAGGCTTGTCAAAGAATCCTCACTAAGACCCTGAAGAGGCTGAACAAAGAATACTAGCGCTAATGAGTGAAGTTAGCGGGCCAAGAGTGGTCGATAATCCTCACTAAGAGCCTGAAGAGGCTGAACAACGAATACTAGCGCTAATGAGTGAAGTTAGCGGGCCAGGGGTGGTCAATAATCCTCATTGAGAGCCTAAAGAGGCTGAACAAAGAATATTAGCGCTAATGAGTGAAGTTAGCGGGCTAAAAGTGGTCGATAATACTCACTAAGAGTCTGAAGGGGCTAAACAAAGAATACTAATGCTAATGAGTGAAGTTAATGAACCAGGAGTGGTTGATAATACTCGGGAACCAGGAGTGGTTGAGAATACTCACTAAGAGTCTGAAGAGGCTGAACAAAGAATACTAGCACTAACGAGTGAAGTTAGCGGGCTAGAAGTGGTCGACAATACTTGACAAACCAGAAGTGATGATAATACTTGTACTTAATTGAAAATCTAGTGGAACCTTTCAATTGAAGGAGACTGGACGTAGCTCAGCCTGAGTGAATCAATATAAAACTCTTTGCACTGTTTTACTTTTCCTAGACGCAAATTTATTTATTTGGTATTTCATACACTACTAGAAAAGTTTCATTTTTCTGCAAATTTTCTTGCAAAAAAATATTCGTAGAAAGTTTTTGCAAAATTTCATGCAAAAAAATATTCACAGAAATTTTTTGCAAATATTCCTACAAAAAAAATATTCGCAGAAATTTTTTGCCAATTTTCTTGCAAAAAATAATTTATAGATATTTCTTACAAATTTTGCTACAATTTTAATAATCATGGAAAAAATTCCATGGTAAAAATTTGCAGAAAATATTGTAAGAATATTATTTTTTTTCTTGCAGATTTTATTGCAAAAATAAATTCGCAAGTAATGTTTACTAAAGAGTAGAAAAATTTTGTAGGTAACTTTTCCTGCGGATTTTCCTGCAAATTTTAATTCGCAGGAAAAATAAAAAAATATATTTAAATTCATAAGTTTAATATTTTAAAAAATCTTCAAGTTCCACGTCAATTGAAAATAAAATAATTAAAGAGTATATAAGTTGGGATAACACTTACCTTACAAGTTGAATTGTATGGTTGAGTGTTAGGCTTATAATCTACAATCTTAGAATTTAAAAGATTATGTATGAGGCATGAAAATAAAAGATTATGAATTCTTAAAATATATAATTTTATAGTAATTTTTTTAAATTTTTTCGTAACAAATATTCCTGCAAAATTTCTTGTAAAAAAATTTGCAGGAAAGTTTCTTGCAAATTTTTTTTCCCAGGAATTTTTTTTTGCAGGAAAATTTCCTGCAAATTTTTTTTTGCAGGAAACTTTCCTGCGAATTTTTTTCGCAAGAAATTTCGCAGGAAAATTTCCTACAAATTTTAAAATTTGCAAAAATATATTATCCATGAAGGTATTACCTGCAAATAAAATTTCGCAGAAAAATTTGTAGGAACAACGTTTCCTGCAAATTTTTATGAAAAATTCACAGGAAAAGTCGCATGTAATAAGAGAAATTCTAGTAGTGATATTGAAAATCTTACTCACCGCTTATTTCACACTACAACATCTTTCAGACAGAAAACATCTCTTGTTTAACTTATTATTGCAAGGAACACTCTCGTGCAAACAATAAAACTTGCAGACGCAAATCTGTTTTAAAAAGTTATATTAAAAATAAACGTGAGATTCATCTTAAGTTTGAAAACGTCAGTATGAAATATGAAAAAGCCTCTTATGCAAAAATATTTTTTTTAACCTTCACACACATATTCAACCCCACTTCTATGTGTTTTTCCTCTAACTTCATAGAATGCCTTATAAAAATTTGTATAAAACCCCGTATGAAATTTGGAAAAATAGAAAATCAAATTTAAAATATCTCAAAGTGTGGGGTATCCCGCAAAGGTGAATATTCCTACTAATTAGAAAAAGGAAAATTGGTCCTAAGACTATTGATTGTGTTTTTCTTGGATATTCTTTATATAGTACTACTTATAGATTTTTAGTTATTAATTCTAGAGTTGCTAAAATTTCTAATAATATAATTATGGAATATAGAGATGTTATTTTTTTTTTGAAAATGTTTTTCCTTTGAAAATTAAATTATCTAAACCTATTTCTGATGTTTCTAGTTCTATTTTACCTTCTAGTAGTAATGTTAACAAGAACATTGCAACTAGAATAAGTAAAAGAATTATAAAAGCTAAAGATTTTGGTCCTAAATTTTATTATTTCTTACTTAAAGATGATCCTAAAACTTATAGTGAAACCATAAGATCTATTGATGCACCTTTTTGGAAAGAAGCCATTAATGATGAAATGAATTCTCTTAAAGTCAATAAAACTTGGTTTTTGACTAACCTTCCTCTTGGATGCAAAAGTATAGGGTGT